TTTTAAGTATGTATATTAATGTAAAGCTTTCTGATTTGTGATGTCCTGTATTTTTTTGTGAAAAGAAAATAAAGTTCTTAAAAATCGAAATCGAACCAGTCCATCACAGGGCACAGACAGACATGCACACACTCACACCAGGGCCAATTTTTGCAGAAGGCAGTTAACTTACCAGTAGGATTTTTGACTGTGGGAGGACACCGTAGTACTTGGAGGAAACCCACACAAACACGAGGAGAACATACAAACTCCACACAGATACTGTAGCACTCCAGGTATGGAGCTGAACCCAGAGCCCCAGTGCTCTGAGGCAGCTAGGCTAACCAATTTGTAACGGTGCCCCATAAAGCATAGTACAAAATATGTTTTCATTTAAAAAAATAAAAGTGCCATGTGAGATGTTTTCTGCTTTCTGAAGAACAATGTAAATGTCTGTGTTTTATATTATACTGTATGTACCTGTCTTTCAAAGACAAAAACGTGTCCCTTGCATCTTTGGAATGTGTGTTTTTGTATTTACCCACTCTAAACTGTGTACAGTGCAAGAACACATCCCTAACTTGACGACATGTCTGCTCTTTTCAGAGTGGACTCCTAGTTTAAGGGTGTCTCTAAAATTATATCCCTCACTTTGAAACCTCAAAGAATTTGCTGGCTATTGTTGTCAATGTAATGTGGCAGCATGCTCTGGTAAGTATAAGCAGATTTCATTTTCTACCCTCAACATTTTGAAATGATTTGGATATAAAAATGATATTTCATTGCTGATTTTCATAAGTGTTTATCTGGAAATATTGAAGATGTTTAATATGATTCTGTCTAAGAGTTGATTTCAGTCTTTTCTTAACCCTGATTTTGTTTTTTGCTTATCTGTGTTTTATCACACTGTGTGTCATACTGGATATTTAACAGCCCATTTATACTTAATTCTTCAGGCCTGTAAACCCTTTCAAAACCAGAGAATTCTTACAATGTTTGTACCAATAACAACAACATAAATTCTAATAGTAGCACCAGGGGAAAATATGTACAGTACATATTCAGAAAATTTTATGAGATTTATTTTTCACTTCAGTTTAATATACAGTTTATTGTTGGTTGTCCCTTCTAAAGCTAAGTTTTTATTCTTAGTACATTTTACTTTACATATGCACATTTACCCATATTCATTCTTTACTAAGGGGGTGGGTGTTCTGAGATGATTTCATGACAGAAATAATTTCTTGGCTGTTGTTCATGCCAGCAGCTTAATATGTCCTATAGAATTTTTTAGACCTCTTTAACATTGGGTTTTTATTTGATTTATGGTTTGTATTTTAAGATGCCAAACAGTTAAACGACCTGTCTTAAACATGTTAGTTCCTGGTCTCAGTGGAATATGATCTGTTTTCATTAATAATGAACAGCAAGCAGACCTGAGATCTAGCCTGCTAAATTGATCTGAGATACTATGTTTGACTGTCAAGGTCACCCATTTATGGAGGTATTGTATAGTGCATCTTGGTTCAAAATGCAGTCTTCCACAGATACTTTCTAAAACCTTACAAGAAAGGCAGAAATTAAAACACGGGTCTTCCTCGCTGTGTTTTTATTTTAAAATGTAATAGTACCATACTTACTGTACCACACAGAGGTAAGAAGAATTAGCCAGATCCAATTGTTGTCCAGTTTGAAAATCATGCATGCTGTAGTTGGTGCAGTGGCATCATCCCTGTCATCAACAAAACAGTGCAGAAAATGAATTAATTATGATAGATGACATAGTTGGGCAAAAGGTTTGCATACAATTACAGAGATGCCATGGTGAAGTAATACAACGCTTGTCGCACCACTGTGAGTGTAGATGTGGCCAAAGCCTTCTGCATTACTGAAAGAAAATGGAATATCCACACAGAGGTGTTGGGTACCCAACATGCTTTATCTGTGTTAGAGGCACCTCACAATAAATTGGGGCAGCTCACAATAAATTGGGAATACAAACAACTGAAAAAGGACCTGCCAAAAATATTATGTTGTAAAAATGAAAACAAAGTTGGCTACCGTACCTCAAATGTTTTCAGTACATGATCCTTGTGGGAATGGAAACAACACGAGCCACACTGGAGATTGGAGTTCAGCACTGCCGCCTCGCAGCTTCAGGGCCCTGTGCTACGGTCTGCCCTCAGGCTCTATCTGTGTGGAGTTTACATGTTCACCCCAGATTCAAATTGTTTGTTCCTCGTGCTCCGGTTTCATCCTTTTTTCCCCAACGAAGTACAGGTGAGAAATGATTGGATATTCAAAACTGACCTCTTATCCTTGTCCTTGCAACTCTTGCGCTCAGTCCTGCATTGCACAATGCCCTGGACTTCCTATTTAATTGTGAGGCAACAAGTATTTATTTGTAGAAATTCTAATGGCCACATCGGTTGTAGTCCTGTACTTCCATATTTCTATTTCTGAAGAATTTCAGGACCCTGCATTTTTTAAAAACTTTTACTGCTTAAATTGGGGCATGGATTCTTGGAATCTCACGTGTATTTACTTGGTAATAAAGTATAACATCTTAGCTAGGCCTTGCTTGAGGAAACAGTGATTAAAATATCATTTTCTACACTGCCAGTGAAAGACAGGTAACCGTCTCTGTACTGAATG